TATATATTTGAGATCTACTATTTTTTGTATACATATGATCATAAAGGACAAGAGCACAGAATCTTGCATAATGAGAAAATGAAAGATGATCCTTCATTTCTTTTCTGAATGTCAAACATTCTCCTCGAATTCGACTCTTGATTGGTGTCTATTTTTACAACTACATTCACAACTCTCGATGTATGTTTTTACCAATGTAAATTAATTTCAATCTCGGTTTAACATATTCTTCATCTTTATTAAATTTAAAAAAAAAGATATAGTTTGTTAAACCGAGATTAAAATTAAACTATATTGATAGAAATGGGCATAAATCAGACGAAACAAATAACGAAACGATTATTGATCCAAATTAATTACCATGCACATAAACTTGCCTTGGGAAGCCGATAAATTTAACTTTCATAACGACATTCTCCATTAATTTAGTACGCCTGAAGTAGATTCCGCAAAAAAAGCCGTTTTACGTATCACACTAAAAAATAGTCTGATAATAGCTATTAAATATTGAATGAATGAAATTAATAGTTCCAATGAAATGTCGATTAATATAAACTAAAATAAATTTACTTTTCTAAATAATATTTAGCAATTATTACTAGACGATTGTTTATATTATTATATATTTGGTAATACTTACTAAATATTTAGGAAAGTAAACTTATTTCTAAAACCATCTTCTCCGCATTTCAAACAAAAGAAATATTAAAATTGTCAATTAAAATCTGTTCTTTAAAACGTCAATAGCAAGCAATTAAGATCCTTTGGACAATTTACAATTTATATCAAAATTTCAGATAAAACTTTTAGTTCGTTTTATGTGTCACGTAAAACATGAAATATAATCAGAAATAAATGTAAAATATATACTAAAATGCGTGCGCGTAATATCAAAATTACAAGGTTGTAAACAGGATTCTGCTCTGGAATCTGATACGAGTAGTAGAGATAGCATCTGAAATACATTTTCCTTCGAGTAGTTTCAGACACTTAACTATCAAAGATCCGTTGTTCGTTATCGGGTGGAGCAATGGAAGGTGCGCGCGTAACGTACATACGCACCTGCGCGTGTTCTCGCGTAAACAGTAAAGTAGGCTGTGTACGCGTGTGCGCGAGAGCGTGAGGTGAGCGGGTGTAACCGGTTCCACCGATTTTTTCACGAAAAGCACTCGCGACGCTTTATAAAATTGCGCGTACTCTTTGTCGTCGTCGTCGTCGTCGTCTTCGTCACGTATGTATGGTGTATATCGAGATACTTAACTCGCAACAAGCGATATTTCGAGTTTCGACGCTCGTGAAGATCTGAGTGCTCATGGCTATATTCGCGTTATTTCACAGCGATAACGGCGCTCGATGATCTTCCCAGAAGACTGCGGCGTTTTCGTTTTACCTTCCAGGCGACAAAGAACGGATTGCCTCGTAAATTTTTAATTACACATAATATTTTATAGCTAAATGGGGAAAAAAAAACTTGTGTTTTTTTTATCACGAAAAATGGATGTTACAATTAAATGTTTTATATATGAAATTTTATTAAAGTTTGATTTTTCAATGCCGTTGCATGTATAAAATTTATTGATGCTATAAAGTGCTCGAATTTATATAAAATTTTCAATTAAAAATTTTATTTAAATAATTAATCCAAAATAATTAATATAATAATTATAAGTGATAAATTCCGACCATTTCGTTATTAATTGGGAAAATTAATTAAAATAGTAGAAATTATTCGTTAGCTGTATTATCGTGCTTTTTTTTAGAGATAATGTAATTAATATATGCAAAAAAAATTAACCGATATTCGTAATCGATAATAATTAACTTACTATTTTATATAAACATTTTTTTAAGTAAAGTTTTTTGTATTACTTGTAGTTTAACTTTACAATTATTTAAATAAAATAATAAATGATAAAATCTCAATTATAGAACGCCATAAATAATTTTTCATAAGTATTATGTAAGATAAAACATTGTTATAAAGAAGACATGAAAAAATTATTATGCATTTTTATGAAAAATACATACAGATCAGTAATTAGAATTATAAATTCATAAAAAGGTAATTATTTATTAATTAATAAAACGAACGAACGAACACTATAGCGCTATTACAAATTATAGAAGTTAAGTAAACTGTCGATAAAATATACGGTTATTTAATGCAGTCGATATAAATCAATTATAAATTAAATAGTCACTCTTATTGTTGTGTAATTAAGATCCAATTATATAATCCTTTATGATTTTTGCTACAAACTTTCTTGTCGAATATCGATGTCAGTATAGTGCACCAACTGTTCTCGGTTCGAATTTTTTGTTTTCAGTTTGACAAAAGACTTGCACGCTCCACAGAACTCCAAACCAATAACAGAGATTTAACGAATAATCGATAAAAAATTCAGCCATCACGAATGCCACGTGCAAGAAGTTATATTTCATTGATTTTTTTCTAAATAACTGCACTGGAAATTTTTAATAATGTTTTTGTAGACATACTAGTTTTATACTAGTTTTAAAATCGTAATAAAGAAAAAAATAAATATAAATGAAATCTATAATATATATCATGATGTAATGTAATTATGTAACAAAATTAAATCTGAATTGATGGTTTCCTAATAATATTTTCAATATTGCATCGTTAACTAATAATTTATAAGCACCTACGGCAGAAAATAATTTTCTTCGAACGTTCGATGGAAACAGAAAATAATTTAATGTCACGTTATTTAATAAAGCAAAGTTAATTTAAAAGATGATGATAAAATAATTATAATATTTTATATCAAAAGTATGAATAAATAATTAAATGATTTTCCTGACTTTTTACTTTTATTCATATATATTTTTATACAGAATTTTTTACAATATAATTTCATAAGTTTATGATTCTACATGGGCTCGTTCCCATTTTTGTCGACACGATAAAATTGCCAACCGTTGTTGGACAAAGCATCGTATATACAAATGTATGTGCGCAGACATAACGCCCGCAATACCGGCACGCTATCCTTTGATCCCGCATTTAATAAATTGAGTCGTTAGAGCTTCATGCGGGACGCATAACAGAAATAAGCCATAGTGATGCTCGCAACCGGACATGACAAAGTATCTACGTTTACAACCTTTGAAGGCATGAGCTGCTTATATTCTTCACGTTTCTTTTTAAACCCTTAGGTTGACAAGTCTAAAATCAAAAATCAGTGTGAAAAGTAAGCGCCATACAAAACTCTTTATTTAAAAAAAAATCTATTCGAGATTGTAATCAATGAAATTTGTAAACAATCACAACAATTTTACAAACAATTTATAATCTATTCTGGAAAATTTTATTGTGCCAATTCATTTTTACTACTTAACGCTAATATGCTTTGCTGCAATTTTCTTTTTAACTAATAAAATAAACTTGATTTATCTTAACCAATAGCTGGTAATGTAGCAAATTGTCAAAAAATAGAAGTAGAGTGAAAGTGGAAAAATATATTTTTATTATTACTATATAATAATTAATATAAAACCGTTCTAAGAACACAATCAATCCGTAATTGTTACATCGCTGCGATGAGAACATAGAATTGAAAACCGTTTTTTTTTTGTAATTTAAATGATCTTCCATGCACTCTAACGCCCTCCCAAGAAATATTACGGAGTAAAAAGCAACAAGCAAGTTTAAATAAAAACAAAAAAAAAATTTTTTTTATTTGGAAATTAATCATAGCAGCAAACTCAACTCTATTTTCCCTAAAAATCATAATGGCTTTTGTTTGTATCGTTTAACATCTTTAAAAGGAGATATATAAATATTTATCGAGCGTTGGAAAAAGAGAGAGAGAACTCTATAAAGATTCTAAATTCTAAATTCTAAAAAAAAAACAAAAAAGCAAATAACACGCACAAATCTGTGATTCAAAAATTTAAAAAAACTTTAAAAGTACTATTGCAACTAATTCTAAATCTACTTATATTTTATTATTATTATCGACAATTGGCCACATCGAGGCCACTTGATAATCATGAATTCTATTTAGAATTACTAATTTTTAACAATATTTTATGAATGACTGCATAAAAAAAATTTTTTTCTTTTTCCCTTTAACGTAAATGTATAAGTAAAACTCTTGCTTCATCCAGCGAAACGTTTTTTTGAATTACAATATTCACTCAAAACATATGGCTTTCAGCGTGTATCTACTGCCATCTGAAGATGTAGGCATAAACGCGTTTGAAGCTACTATATACTGTGATAAAGAAAGCGCTGTATCGACAATGAAACGAGAAATCTATAATAGCTTTAATTTTAACGTGTTATTCTGATTATATAATCGCGTAGAATTGAAGGAAATATTAATTTAATTATAACATACAGATATATAAAAAAGTCTTATATTATATT